TACTCAAAAGATGTGCTCGGGCGATGTAGACAAAATGAATTCTAACACAGAAGCGGTAGTGGCTGCAATATGCATCATTTGCCAAACACGTGTGAGAAACTAAAATTGAGACACATATTTACAAATTTGCATTATTGGTCACTTCGTGGTATAAAAGGTACTCATGAGCAAATAGTGGAAAGTTTGATGAGATATGAAATGGTAGGGGATTGATGTAGATTAAAAATAGCAAAGGATCTAAAACTGAACCCCGCGGGACACCTGAGGTGACACAGACTATTGCTAAACTAGAATTATTGGTGGTAAACAGTTGTTTCCGGTTAGGAAATAATGTAACTAGGTGAAAACGTTAGGGTCAATATTTAGCGTACTGAGCTTTAATAGAATTAGTTTGGGAGACACCTTAAGAAACACTTTGTTTGTTTCACTCGGCACACACTCTGCTTTGGCGGGACTTTGCACACGACAAAAAAGTTAAAGGTGAATACGCCACATAGAGAAAGGCTAGTGAACTAGAAGCGCCTGTCGCAAATTTCTAGCCTTGATGAAGCATTTGAGTTGGAATATATCTTTCTCAGAGGCATATGCATGTGCAAAAGCATATTAAGCTCCGTCTTGAATACGATCCAATTATCATTAACAGAACGCTCATGGAATCATGATAATAAAGCGTCCACGAAAGTGCATAAGTTCCCTCTTAATTGGCTCAAGATCAGCTTAACCATAGTCTTGAATATGCTTAAATGTATTTGGCAAAGTCACCGATAGTACCTTTATATAAATATGCAATAGGCAGTGATCAGTTAGTCCTAGTAAACGTCGCAAGGGCGAGACTAAGTTCGTACATGTTCTGAAGATTGGAATAATACGGTTTACAATGAGCAGGGAGTACCAGTAGGTTGGTATACTAGTCGTTAAAATTTATGAAATTGTTGCTTTCAGACGAATATGGCTCAGCAGCTTGGGTTCTTACAGTCTGCATAATTTAGATGCGGAGCATTTCTTGCTCGGGCTATGTCCCGCGGCGTCGTAGTCCGCACTCACACTACGCATGCGCAACTCTCCTCGCTGCGCGTGCGTTCTCTCTCTCTCCAACAGCTGCGCGAAGCGCACGCAGCTACCAGCTGCGTCCCTCTCTTCAACAGCTGCGCGTGCGTTCTCTCTCTCTTCAACAGCTGCGCGAAGTGCACGCAGCTACCAGCTGCGTGCACTTCACGTGCGTTCGCTTCTACTCACACCGCGCGCAGGCGCAACTCTCCTCCTCTAGTTTCTTCTCCTTCAAGTTTGAATATAAGGAGCGGTAGCGCGCCGCGCGCGTTCAAGGGGAGGAAGTGGCCGAGTGGGCTAACGCGTCTCAGCTCGGAGCGTGGAGCGAAAGCTTGCGCTGGGAACCTCCTGGGTTCGAGTCCCCGCCACCCCCGCCCGTTTCGATCTGGATGAGTTTCGTACCGGCACGCGTTCGTGTGATGACTACTGCGTGATGCACGTTAAGATTCCCAGGTTAACGGTTGTACTGCACTGGCTAAATTTCTCATCTACAGCTAAGAGACCGATTACCTGTTGAGGCGCATCTCCATCAAGGCTGCATAAACATAAAGAGCAAACCAATTTCTGCGCGCGTTCAGTTCACCGCTGTTGACTCCACTTTACTCCGTTCTTCCGATGAAGTGTGATGGAACGATGCTCCGCATCACCCCATAGTTCCCCTCGGGAAGATGGTGTAATTTTTTCAGTTTGTTCCCGGCAAGCCAGGAATAAACTCCGCGCAAACAGAAGTAACTTTTGCCTTAACTGTTAACACCACGCCGGAGTAGTTTCACTAATCAAAAGATAAAGAGGCGGAGTTCCCTGAGAATGTAGCGTTTTATGGTTTCCGTAATTAAAAAGCGTAAGTACACACACAAAAAAAAGAACTGGCAACAGTGATAGTTCTTTAAGTGGGGGCGTAGGCGTTGGGGCAAGAGGTGCAGCCGACTTCTTGAATTTGGAGGCTGGGCCTCCGAAGCCCCTGTTGCCTTCTGACGGGATATTGCGTAGAGGGCAGTCATTGCTCGTCGCAACGTAAGCACCGCCACAGTTAATTCATTTGGGTCGGAGCTTGTATCCCACGGCGGGGTCGTGCTCGTGGCCGCAACCACCGAACCTGACGGCGTCCTGAGTTCAGACGTCTTTCGTATGGCAGAACTGGCAGAGGAGTGGTCTGGGCCAGTACGCGGACATTTTCAAAAACTCACAGGCGTAGCGTACGTATCTCGGAAGAGGCTGACTCGAATGTAATGAGCACGGTCCTTCCGGACTGGATGATAATCTGGGCTGCCAAAGTTTGATGAGTTCTTCCCTCCACTTGCTTCATCAGTGATTCCGGAGTTTCGTTGTTATTTTATCCTCTGAGGTAAATATTCGTTTGGTATACTCAACGTGGCGACGTAGGGTTTCATTTTCAGAACGTTGCCTTTCTGCTGAGTAGTTCGAATCGTGAGGAGCTTATGGCCGCCTGCTGATTCCTGAAGGTGAATGGCAACCGTATTCGAGTTCGCGTTGGCATGAAGGGAGCATTCTTTGTCGTCGAAGGTCGTGCGAGTGATGGCTTCTCTGATATTTTTGGTGGCGATGTTGAAGAGGTCTTCCCTGCAGATAGGATTCAAAACGACCGTATACTTTGGTGGTGATGACTTAGAGTCGCTTATCTCATAGGATCTCTGACGTCTGCCGCGTCTGCGCATTTCATACCGCGGTCTAGCTGCCCCTGTCTCTTGTTCCCTGTGCTCATCCATGGACGCCATCTGTTGCTAACTCGCTTCAACGCTGGAGTTCCCTGAGAGAACTTTGCTACTACAGGCCGACGAGCTTCCTGTCGTGTTTTGGCGCTTATATTATTGCAAAGCGGCCCTGTTCTGCATGCATTACGTAATTGCCGCCCTGTTCTACTTATACTCGGCAGTAATAATAATAATAAATATTTTATTGTCCCGTTTTCAACACAGCGCATAGACCGGCCCGCAAAAGCATGGGTATGCTTGTCGGCGGGACCTGGCGTCCAACAGGTTGCTGACATAGTTATAACAAAGCATGCATTTTTTGCATACAACTAAAAAAACCCAAACAAAGAGAATTATACCCTACAAGAGAACAAGGGAAAAACGTGGTACATTTCAGTCACCTATCGTCTGGCAGCACCATTCTCTCAGGTCTTGTTTTAGTCTTTTTAGGGAATCCAGGTTATGAAGCTCTTCTGGTAACTTATAACTACCCTGTTCTCCAGATGATCGACAATTGCGGCCTGGTTCTGTTGAAATTCAGGAACTTACTTGTTCTTCATGTATTCGGTAAAGTTCGGGAGTACTCGCTCATAGGCGGAGTAAGCTTCCAGTTCTTCGTCCAGCATAGTGTAAACCACTCGTGCCTCATCAGATGTCTCCACGGGGTTGCTTTCGGGCAGGTAAGGGTAAGGTTCAATCGCCATGATCTTCCTTCTCAAAGGGTTCCAGATCTTGCAAGGAAGATCGGCTTGCGAATGTCGTGGTTGCCCACTGACCCTCCAAAACCAGGAATATCCCACTCCCAGACAGGGGAAGGTGGCGGCGGTCGTTAAGCCAGCGACCCCCGAAAGGGGAGAACCGGGGCCGAGAACTTTTAAGAAACACGTGAGGTTACAGGGCGACGAGGCTTAGGAGAGACGGAATGGACAAGATTTGAAATCGAACGCTTCTCAGGTCGCGAACGCGTGCCTCTCGCCAAAGCGCGCCTGATTCAATCATTTTTTTTTTTTTAGACTGTTTGTTTGATTTGGAAGCAACGTTACTAGAAAAACTTAGTGGGGCAACCGAATTAGATACGATGACACCACCTCCCTTTAGCGGCGAGTCAAAACACGAAAGTTGCTTTATATATCTACAGCGAGATGCCGCTGCGGGATAGCGCCACAATCCCTTGCGTGATTCGACTGAACCGGTGTATGCAGCCGTGCGTTTCACGGAGTGGCCGCTGCGGGAGAAATGGTGGCGTTGCGATCGGGTCTGGTCCTGTTCTAAAGTGCGGATCGGAGCCACTTTTAATGCGAAGCATTAATTACCCCATAGAGCGTAGCCGGCGGCGTCTGTAACCGCGAAGAAACGCAAAAGAAATGCTCATTCTCTCATTGGCTGAGCGAAGCACTCGGCCGCCGCTCTCGTGTCAGGCGTTGCCGGAGGGGGCGGGGGGGGGGGCGAGGCAGCGGCTGCTTTTGTTCCTCTCGGCGGCGTGGTACATGGCGGCGCCTCAAGCATATACATCGTCGGCGGCCGCAACCTCGGTAGCAGCGAGACGTGGCCGTCCAGGCAAGTACACCGCAGACGAACTAAGGGAGCGGAAGAACGACATTCATGCTTTCGCTTTCACAACTCATAAGAAGTGCTTAGGTGTCCTCCGAATTTTTTCAAAGCAGGCTGCTATGCCAGTTTTCCAATTGAGTTCTTCTAGTAACGTTACTTGGAACTGATACATGTGAAGTCACCCCACTGTAGAGCGTGGGAAAATTGGAATGTTGGTTTTGGCACCACCTCCTTTTCCGTTAGCCCAACAGCTCTTTTTTATGTTATATATAATTAATAGCAAGACGGAATGAGGAAAGCCCGGGAATTAGAAAAATATGCCTTAGTTTAGGCAGCAAAGAAAAAACCAAAAAACCTTGAGGTACACCTAAGCATTTCTTATGAGTTGTAAATGCGAAAGCCTGCAAGCCGCTCGTCCGCTCCCTTTGTTGCCTGCTGCGTACTAGCGCGCGCGCGCTTCGGTATCTCAGAGGCTTTAGCGCAGTGGCCAATGGGAGCCCCGTCGACGCGCGTCAGCCAATGGAACCGAAGGCGAATCGCTCCTATTGGGATCGCGGAAACTGGGAGCCGTTTTTGCGCTTCAAACTGATGATGCCAGCTCGCTCCATGAGACAATTAATGCTTTCGCCTTAAAAACGAAAGAAAAAAAAAACAGAGTTGGTTCGAGCAGGTGTATGCTGTGCATCCCACCTTGCGCAGCTTTCCCGTAGCAAATGCTGGAGTCGCCGGGGGGCGCAGCTTTCTCCATTTCTTCAAAGTGGCGAAGGCCATCATTTCTTCCAGTAGAGGTTGAACGATCGGGAGGGGCTTCGGGACAGAAAAGAAAAATTCACGCTTGATTACTCATTTGCGTCAGATGGTTGTTATAATAGTTTTTTTTTAATACAGTGATGTATTGTTGATTTGGACACCTTGATTTCCACTAAATATTGTACATAATGTAAGTTGTCCATAATAACGACACAAAAAGGCTTGCATTTTCCTTGTCCTCGTAAATGGTGTCCATATTAACGGGGTCCAAATTAACGGCACATGACAGCGTTATTATTCGGCAACCGACAAACGCAACCGTAAGAAATAAAATAGAAATTGGAGATCAGCATTGAAAATAACACTTTGGTGAGCTGACCAAACAAACCAACGAATATCATCGTGCACATTTCACAAAGATCTTTAGTCATTCATAAACTTCGACAACTCGTCATCTTCTAAACCGCGATAACAGCGCGAGTACATCATACGAGCAACTGTCTTCAGACACTGTCTGAGGCGTCTTTCCATGTATGGCTGTTCTGTTACACTGGACACACAGAAATGCTCTGCAAACATGATGGAGCATGGATGCATTAAATGTGCTTGGAACATGCTCGTGGCGTCTCCCCCTTGTAGATTTGTCAAGTTGTCTTCAGCCAGCATCGTGCATTTTGTATGAAGTACGCGCAGTGCGACTGCGGCTTTAAAGGCCGACGTCTAGACTCAAGATACTGCAAGGCAGAAGATCCTTCTCACCGTGAGGGAGGAGGAAACTGGCGACTGTGGACAGGGTAGAAGGGGAAAGAGGAGGAAGTGAGGAAAAAGTGAAAAGCGCGAACTGGTCGTCAACCTTCAAGTAGAGCCGAAACGCTCGGCTCTACTTTAAAGGACCCATGAAACGAATTTTGGGCTGGAGTAAATCAATTTATATTGGGATTTTACTAATAGCACATCGTTCAGTGGGCCAAAAGAACAAAGGTAGAAAGTCAAAAGCCTGACTTTCGCTGCAAAAATTTGCAAAACATAGCGGACTATTTCGTACCTCCTTCCCTTCGTAAACTCTCCGCCTTTTCACTGTGATACATCCGCGGACCTCGCAGCGCGTCACCGGGCTACTAGCCATACCTCGGCAAATTCATTCATGAACTCGCTCATTCACCTTCATTCACATTCACGGCGTGAATCTGAATGGCTCTGAATGAATTCTTGAATTCGAAAAAGATCATGATGTGATGGTGAATGACTTTGTGAATTTGAATGAATTCGCGATGTGATGGTGAATGACTTCGTGAATTTGAATGAATTCGTGATGTGATGGTGAATGAATTCATGAATTTGAATGAATTCGTGATGTGATGGTGAATGAAGTCTTGAAGTCATGATGTGATGGTGAATGACTTCGTGAATTTGAATGAATTCGTGATGTGATGGTGAATGAAGTCGTGATGTGATGGTGAATGACTGTGAATTTGAAGGAATTCGTGATGTGATGTTGAATGATGTTGTGATGTGATGGTGAATGACTTCGTGAATTTGAATGAACTCATGATCTGTTGTGATTGTGAAGGACTTTGTGAAGTGAATAGAATTCATTGTGATGGGTGAATGACTCAATGGATTCGTGACGTGATGGAGAATGGCTCGTGAACACGATGAATTTGCGATGTGCGTGGCTCGTGAACTTGGTAAGTTTGTGATGCGAAGTAATACCGTGAACTTAATTCTCGACGTGATAGTGAATGCGGTTATGCATTCAGAATAGGCGGAAAACATGTTACGCAGGTGCTTCTTGCTTACTGGTTGTTTTCATCCCTCACCGCAAACCACAGGAACATATTTGACTTGAGCGGTTTGGGCTTCAGTCTCGCTGCGTAGCCGTGCGTGCCTCAGCGCGGTGTCCCTTTGTCGAGCAATTTCGTGGTAACAGCTGTTTATAAAGGAAGTGCGGTGGCAGTGGCAATGAAGGGGAGGAGAGGGGGGGGGGGGGAAACGAGGGCAGGCTAGTCTTTTTTTTTTTTTTTTGGCACTTGCCACTTAATTTTGATGTTGTTCTGAGCAATTCCTCGTGAATCAATGGAGCTCCTTGCCGACCTTGTCCTTCTGTGTCTCGGGACATATGGTACGGAATCTCTGAAGGCTCTCGCTGTGCCGTTTCGCTCGTGAGTCGTGCGTGGCACAGCCGCGCTGTCAGCGGGCACTAATAGTAGCAAGCGCCGTTTCAAAAGATACGAAGCCGAGGCCGACGTCACGAGCAGGCGCACCTAATCCGGCGCCGAGACCATATCATGTGACCTCCCGGTTCCGCGCGGCGGCGCACGGAGTACATTCACGTGGCACGATCGCAGCGCAGCATTGGATGGGTTGGCGCTCAATCAATGTAAGTTGTGTTTTGCGCACTCGAAATACCCCACTTCCCCGACGGAGTCAGGTCCTGGTTTCAAGTGGCTGACACAAAAAGGCGCCACAGTCCTATTCCACAAGAACTGCGAACTCGTAAAGGGCTACTAGCCGTGAAGCCGAATTTAGTCAGAATGAACCTGAATGACTTCGTGAATTATGCGGAATTCATGATGTAATGGTGAATTCTGGTGAATTCGTGTTGACCGTGATGGTGAATAACTTCGTGAAGTGATGGTGAATTCGGATGAATTCATGATGTGATGGTGAATTCGGATGACTTCGTGAAGTGATGGTGAATTCGGATGACTTCGTGAAGTGATGGTGAATTCGGATGAATTCGTGAAGTGATGGTGAATTCGGATGAATTCATGATGTGATGGTGAATTCCGATGAATTCACGATGGTGAATTCCGATGAATTTGTGGTGATGGTGAATGACTTCGGGAATTGGTGATGTGATGGTGAATGACTCCGTGAATTCGGAGGCGGCGGTGATGTGATGGGGATGAATTTTTGGCGCGGTTGAACGCCGTGATGTGAAGGGGATGAAGTTGCGGCGCGGTTGAACACCGGGATGTGAAGGGCCGTGACTTTGGGAGGTCAGAGTACCTTGTGACGTGAATGCGAATGAATTTGGAGACGTGATTTTGTTCGTGATGTGATGGTGAATGAAGGAGGTCTAAAATGCCGACCTATTTAGTCTAGCCACCATAACCGGGACCCCGCAGCGCGTCACCAGGGCCCAAGCGCACGTCACACGACACCGGACCTCACTTAATCCCTTTACCCCTAAGCTGACATTGCGGTGGAAGCTACGCGCTTGCCGGACCAATCAGCCGCCTCCCTTTCATCACCTGACCTCATTCTCTGCGGGTCGGTATGCGCGAGAGAGCGTGATCACGTGGAAAATGTGTGGCTGGCCCAACGAGCACGTAGCTTCCACAGCACTGTCAGCTTCGGGGTGAACGGGGTGGGGAAAGCAACTAGTCGGAATTTTGAGCGACGGGCTAATCTTCTAGGGGGCAATGGCTGTGTCCGGGCTACACAAGTGAGATTCCGAGCAAGAGGGGACTCCCCCCTTTCCGACTTCTTGAACTGTTTGGTACAATGCGCGATTTATGAGTTGAGGAGGAAAGCTAAACAGAAAAAAGTTGAAAAAGCATTTCATGACTCCTTTAAGTGCGAACCAGCCTTAAAGCCGAGGTCAGGCTGCTGACATCGTACAAAAGGACGGTCCGCAGACCATCGAGAGTTTGAGGGAACCGTTGTTGCACATACGGTACGCCCGCCGGTATGAGCTGCGCATGCGCGAGCTTAATATGCGCAGTTGAAATCGGCGAGCCACCGTACCGTATCGGATGTACAAAAACTGTTCCCTCGAACGCTCTACTATGCGGCGCGTGTTCCTTGCTTGTATGACTGTCGGGTCACATTAGTCTTTAGAGTTTTTTAGGGAATCGTTTTGGCTCATCCGAAAGGGCCCTCCGTTATGAACTGCGCGTGTGCGAGCCTTCTGCGGTAGCACATGCACAGTTCTTATTGGAGGGCCCATCGTACCAAATCAGGAACCGTGCAAAAACGGTTCCCTAAAACTCTTCATTGTCTGACGAGGTGCTGGAAGTTCACATTTCTATGACAGAAAACATGATTCGAACAGTCTCGATGCGTGCCCGCAGATAACTCTCTCATCCTGTCTGCAGCGGAACACCATGTCTTTTGTACCACGTACGAGTAGCCTGACTGCGGCTTAGCTGCATACACCCAATTGCGAGATTTCTACAGCACGCAATCGCCGTGGGTGGTTTCGTACCCTTCTGTCCGGCAGACGGGCGAAGTCCTTTACCAAGACCAGCTTCAGCAATTCGGGATCCGCAACGACGAGTGCCGGTTGGCTTCCCTCGAAGACACTGTGAGTCAACCGCAAGGATGCATGGTTCAAACTAACTTCAGGATGCATATAGAACAGAGGATGACCGCAGTGTTCCCTGCGCTGTAAAACGAACCGGAAAAGAAATTTGGTGCCTCTACGTAGAAAGTTTAAACTTTCACCGAATTTGCATTTAGGGAGTGGACTCTGCCTCGCGAGATTTCAATGTACATTTGTCTTTCTGTAAAAATATTAGACCACAAAACTTGCCAAAGTTAAAGAGGGTCGGGGTCGCAGAAGACCGAATTAGCGATGAACGTAATTTGTGGTGCCATCTCTCGATAGACAGAGCTAGCAGACAACAGAGTACGTCGCCTAATCGCTCAGCCTATTGGGAGATTGCACCTCAAGCTACATTCATCACTAAGTTGGTCGTCTGCGAATAGTCCGCCTTTGACTTTGTGAAGTTCCTTAGTCTCATTTTTGTACAGGAGCAAAACTACGCATTGAGCTTCCTATGTGCAAGCGCCGAATTTTTTAGTTCGTTTTATAGAGTTGGAACACACTGGCCATTCCATGCATAACAACATAAACTTTTCGCACTGTAATACACTTGAATGTAAAAATATTACGGTTCCCTTTAGCCCTAAATTGCACCGATCAATGACACTTCATTTATGAGTTAAGTCAGAAAAAGGTTGGGCGGCTTTTTTGTATCTAGGACTGCAGGGTAGACTGTGAGGGTTGACGAAGAAACTATCTTTTTTTCTTAACTTTCTACACGGACATTATTAATAGTCTAAATATTGCTACATGTATTCAGATTGTTTAAGCACATCTTCATTTAGAATGTATTGATGAACAAATCTTTATGTCGAAGAACGTTAGAAATATTGCAGTTGTCTGTGCGTTAATATATAATATTTTATGTTTGAGAATAATCATGCATTTAAAGAGCGCACCGTACTGCTTTGAACTGATAGCCAAAACAGGGTTAATTTGATTGGCAAAATACTGGAATGTGAGAGCAGCTCACCCAAATATTCTCCTGTACTTGATGTATCGTTCATGGTTCATCAAATGGAAGGGCTGGAAAGTGGGATATTTGAAATGAAGTTTGTGCGCCACGTAATTTAGGAGCAAAGGCAGAATTGTGATACATTTTTTAGAAGTATTTATTAAAAATTTATAGTTCTAAAAATAAGCAACTATACGGGAGTAAAAAAAACTGAAAAGGGAAAATAATATACTTCACTTCCCCTTAGGCCAGAGCGCAACAGGTGTTACGAGCCAGTCAAGCAGCACCGAAAGCGCAACGTCATGGAGTTCGGCGTCGTTCAATGGTGCTTATCTGCGGGCTAATTCAGAGATTGCGCCGTGACCTTGAGCTTTTAGCCTGTAGTGTCCCCTAATGTTTGGCCTCTGTTCACGGTGGAAGAAATACATTTAGGTGGTGATTCTGGCCGCTCTTCCCGCGTGGAGCGAGCGACCAGATCGTGTTCCGAGCTAGTCTTGAAAAAGGAGTATACTCTGTTTCACCTTATGAGGTAGCGCAGGAAAGGCTACAAATGCGAGCTCCTTGCTCTGGGGCACATCTCGGCGGCACAAGCTCTCGTGACTTAAGAGCGGCTGCCAACGCTATGAGCTTGCGCTTCTAGCCTTCGCTGCGGTACAACATAAGGTGAACCGAAGTATAGCTTTCCGCGCCGCCGCGGAGGGCGCTGAGGTGTGAGCACCGTGGGTATGAGGTTTCTCCTCGGCGGCCACGGTGTCGAGGGCGTGGCTTGCTCACCTACTTCGCGGTGTGGTGGTGGTGTGCGGCCAGTGGCTGGCCTCATGTTTTACTTTGGTGCTGTGTCGATCACAGGTGCCACCATCGTGGACGAAGGTGAGCCTTAACCCGAAGGAGAAGTTATGCTATAAGGATGGGGAAAGACGTGCTTCGTTCCGAACTGCAATTCGGGGTACCAGAACTGCGCAGAGCGAGTGTCCTTGTTTAAGGCTCCATCGAATGACGCTCGCCTGGAGCAGTGGCGTCGTGCAATCCCGAGAGCCGATCGCAAGTTACTACATAGTCTCCTAATCTTGTTGACCAAGTGAAGACCAAGCTTGATAGTCTAATTTCTGTCGAAGTCTGGGGATGCGAAAATGTCTGGTCAAAAAAGGCTGAATAAACCAAGGTTGTGGACTGCATGCTATATTATGTAACTGAGTTTTTAAGTGTGAAAATGAAAAAAAAGCTACACACTGCCCTGCATGCCGATCCGCTTTCAGCATCGACAAGAACACGTCTGCTGAAGCAGCACTTACAAACGTGAAGAACAGAGGAGGCCTTATACACCCCAACAAGAAACGTTTCCAGCTACTGAAAAAAGAAGAACAGTTCTTCGTGGAAAATAAGAGCCACCAGACTGTCTACTGGGAAAAATCGACAGTGTTCTTGACACAAGCACATTAACGTTTCCATGCGCTGAACACAAAGAAGAAACAATCGCCTAGTTGCTCCACTACTACTTCAGCATGCAAATGCGACAACACTTTAAGCATATTACGATGAGTAGGAACAAACAAGTTTAAGAAATGAAGAAATCAGCAAAGCAGCGCTCGTCTTAGTTTAAGAGCACGGGCGAGAAACACAGGATGTAGGAGATGGCATTCGTTAGTAGTATGCAGCGAATTCAGCCTTTGTGTACGTTTTAAATCAAAAATATGTCAGGTATTTTTTTTACCTGTAAGACTGGGCGACACCATATTGTGAGAGTATAAATAAAAAGTGATTTATGACCTATAACCCTATTGAAAATCGCTCTGAGGGGACTTCAGGAATTCTTTAAAGGGTGTGAAGGGGACTTCAGGAATTCTTGTGATGTTTGAAAGGTGCACCGATATTTCCTGGTGGGTTCGTTGGCCTGTCAGAGGCTCTCCTGAAATGTCTGAAGCCCCCTTTACAATGCCTTGAAATGTCTGAAAGCCTGTCAAGAACTTTTCTAATGGGGTCGGGAAAACTTTCAGGCTTTTTGAAATATCTGTGGGGACACGGCCTAGGTGGAGAAAATACATGTCGCAGAATTAGAACATGGCTACGTATTGTTCACATAGGGAAAACAAATAATTATCTGGAGAATGTCGACTGTATGTGTGTACGGTCAGTTTTTTATTAGTGATCTTTTATCAAACACAACTGGACTCCTCGACCCGTCTGTCACTCACTGGCCGGGTGTTCGGTCGCCAAGGGGGCTACGGGTGCGATCGCCCCATGTGGAGAATTGACAAGGCGCGGGCCGAGTGTTGTTGGCCGAGCGGCGTTTTGAGGCGAACAAGCTTGACTTGTTGCACTAATAATAATAAAAAAGGGCAAGCCGAGAGCAGCGCGTTGCCCAATTTCAGGGACGCTGGGGAGATTCCGAGGGCGAAGCGGCAGCGACTCGTGCCGGGAACCGGTTTCCCCGCGGGGGACAGTCCCCAAAAAGGAAAAAAAAAATAAACAAAACCATTTTGCTTTTTACCAGAGTCGGAAGTCCTCACTTTTTCGTCGTCGCCAAAAGCATGAACAGACAACTCAAATCCCCCCCCCCTTCCTTTTACAATGCCTACAGACACACACTGCACTTCTCTCCGCCCGGCAATGGGGAGAGGGTGCAATACCGCCACTTCCGGACAGCACGCTTCTCCAATGGTCGTCGGGAGAGAGGGGTGTGAGGAAGCCGAAGAAGTCAGGAGGCCGCTATAGCCATTTTCTTTCCGCTCGTGGGCGGTTTGTTTCTCACCGCCATGGAGATATGGAACGGACCGGGTTCCTACATCCAGAAAGGTAAGGACTGCTTCGAGGGCTCGCCCCTTGGTCTGTTTTAATCCGTGCCGTTTCTTCCTTGGTTCCGCAGGTGAACCCCAGTTCGGCGTTGGCCGCCTTCAGCACCGCTCGAGCACCATCGTGTTCAGCGCATTCAAGGAGATGGTGGCCGGTGTCGGCCTACTCGCAGTGCCTGCGCACCGGGATCATAGCACTGTGGGTCCTGGGATCCTGGGACGGTGGATGACGGCCGCTGTCCCGCCTTGTTCCTTGCGCCTCTTCGTCCGACCGGCCTCAGAAGCACCCAGCGAGCGAAAAATACGCGGAAGACGCCGCCCCGACGACATCGTGGAAGAAACCGTGACTGTGCTCGGAATTTCTCAGCGGTGACGGGATCTGCTTGCGAGTTCGTGGTTTTCGCTAAACGTGCTTACTGAGACTGTGTATGTGTACGTGAGGTGCACCTGCTCCGTTTTATTAGCTGAACTACCGTACATCAGGAATTTACCCAACGGCATTGTGAGTACTTTGAAAGATTTTTCGTTGTGTTAAAGAAGTTAGTTGTTCCTATTTGATATGATCTCTTTCGTCGACAGCTGCTTGCGCCCGGGTTTGAACAAGCGTTGGTTTTTATCGATTTTTGCGTTTTAATGCGCATGTAAAATTCAATGTCAGCAATAAATTTTCAATAACGTTTTGAACTGAATTTGTGTCTATGGTTCACAGTCATTTGGGTGTCTAAAGGGTTGATGGGCTAAGGGGTTCGGGTTGAAGGGCTGTGGGGCTGGAGGGTTTTTTCTGAGGGGTATACCTGAAGGGTATTTTTGAAGGGTTTTGAAGGCCTGTGCGGTTCCATAATCCTTCAAGGCTGATGGGCCCTTTAGAATTATTTTCAATAGGGAACCGCTATTATTTTTTTACTTTCAGTCACTGTGTCATCATGTCAGTCAGTATGTCATCATCTGTGTCATCATTTCAGTCACTATGTCACCATAAATAAAATTTTTTTCTACTGACAAGGTTCGTATGTTCCACAATACAAGTTGATATTGTATGTATAAACCATTTGTAATTCTATAACCTTTATGCGCATGTAACGAATTATTTGAGCCCCACTATGTAACATTATTAGAATTTATATGTTTTAATAAGAAGGCAGGAGCAGGGTGGAAAAAATCACCCTACCTCCTATAGATCCACGCCATGTGTGCAAACAATTTACGGAACTGTTACCAAACATGATGTTTGACAAATCATGCGAGCACGACCCAGCTGTTTACTCTAAATTATTGAAGGCTCAGTAGATTATGCCGGAAAGTTTAACATTTATACGAGTATTTGTGTCACGTTGAGTCATCATCGGAATGTTCTCGTTAAAAAAAAAACAGGAACCGCACAGGGGAAAAGGTAATCAGTGCCAGTGCGCCAACATAAATCCATCATTTCACTACACAGTAAACAGGGACCGAGTAAAGAATGCATAATTTCCTTCACAAGCCCTTTATACAAGCCTTCACAAGCCCATCTATACTTGGGTGCCATCTATCCCCGTGCGAACGAAGCGCGCCCGGTGCGCCGAACAGAATGTGGTCGCCGCGTGAGACAGAAAGTCATCACCTAAATGTATTTCTTCCACCGTGTCTCTGTCCTTGTTTGTCTTCTATGCGGAGCGCACGTTCCTCTGCTACTTTTGCAGGTATAGTGACGTCAGAACGCCGAGATTTGATTTCTTCTGAATGAAGAATAGTGGGCAGAACCATAGCCTCCTCTATACTATAGAGGAGGCTATGGCAGAACTCAAGACAGCTTGATTTGAGGAGTACCCCCTATCCTTCAATCAGAAACAATCAGAGCTTGGCGTAAGGGCGGTTATTAACATGCAGCGAAGCGCTGATGTAGCGTTGCTCACGTGTCGTCAGCTACTTATCGCACGCCATGAGCAACAGTTGACGGTGCGATACAAAGCTGGGGAACGCTCCCGTCAGCACGTTCTTAGCGCGCGGTGACAGCGCTCCGACGTAAGGTGAACCGAAACATAGAACATATGGCACGCCAGTCACCGCGGGGAGAAACAGGAAGCATGAAAAGGAAGCCCCAAACGAACTGGTGACGGTTGAGTATGATAGACTAAAGCGTGCTTCCCATGCAGCGGTTTTGGCCCTAGAGCGGCGCGATTTCTGCCGTCGCGGCGCTCTGGCACGCAGCAGTGGTTGAGCGGCACGAGCGCCGCGACGGCAGAAATCGCGCCGCTCTAGGGCCAAAATCGCTGCACGTGAAACATGCTTAAAACTCTGAGACTATAGGCGTTTGCGAAAATTGCCTTCTGTGCGCTGCCATCTTCGTCTGCTGGGCTGTGGAACGCCTTCTGAGCATACGCTGTTGATTTGCTGTAGGCTGTATTGGACGCTGCGCAGGCGTCCACTGCTCAGTGACTCAGCATTTTTGACCGAGTAATAAGCGACGGAAAGGTTTATAGAGAGAACAGGGATCAATACGACACAGAAGTCTATAAAAAAAAAACACAGCTTATATTTATTATACATGATGATTGAAACCCTGAGACTGTGTTTCGAAAAACGGAAACTCGTGAAGTAGGAATAAAAAGGGACAGACAACGTCTAAAATTCAGCTAAAAACTTTATCGCCTCTACGCCTTATATACACCTTCCCCGAACGTCGAACGTCGCCACCACCGCAACGGTTGATCACTGAACTACAAACAATATACCAGAATTACAATACATCGAACCGCAAACAATGCAAAAACAAAAGCGTGATACAAATAGAAACACTAGGTCGTCACCACCACACCCGGAAGGACTTCGACGCGGACATTGTAATACCAGCACTTGGAAACACACAAATACCGTCTCTAACTTACCCCCCTTTTCCCCTGAACTGAACCATGAATCACACACAGTCGCCAACAATGCGTCCCATACGATCCCGAACCCGACAAGGCTAACAACTTTGCGAAGCAACCCCCTCCCTGTTAAGTTCACCCCACACTAGGTCTTTACAGCCGAAGAAACGTTTTTGACTCACTTCCAATTTGCAGTGACGCTTGGCTAATGCAATTTTCCGATGTTTTTATGCGAACAGTTGCTCGCACAATACGTCTCATTTCCTCACTCTCTTTGTGTACGATTTCTGTCTCTGACCAGTTGGCTGTACACGCATTACACTCCTGGAGATGCCTCGCTAGTTCAGAGCGAGGTATCTACAGGAGTATAATGCCTGTGCAGCGAACTGGTCAGGGACAAAAATCGTACACAAAGAGTGTGAGGAGATGAGACCTGTTGTGCGAGGAATTGCTCAACAAACTGATCAACCGTTGTGGTGGTGGCGACGTTCGACGTTTGAGGGGAGGTGTATATAAGGCGTAGAGGCAATAAAGTTTTTAGTTGAGTTTGAGATGTTGTCTGTACCTTTTTCTTCCTACTTCACGAGTTTCCGTTTTTTAAACAACAGTCTCAGGTTTTCAATTATCATGTATAACTTACACCCGCTCGCCTGCACTTTAACTGTTTTTTCATTGATATTTATTGACAAAACTCATATTTGTATAGGATTCGGGCACTTTCGTGAACAGAAAAAAAAAATGAATGAGAACATAAAGGGCGCACTCCAGAGAAAGAACAACTTTTTCACAAACGATAACTGACTTTTCTGACGTGACGTCTTTCGTTTTCTCTACAGTCTAGGGCAGTTTTTCTCAAGCGTGGATATGTCGGGGACCCCTTGGGGGACGCGCCAAAAGTGAAGGGGTTATCATGCCGCGGGAAGGAGAAAAAGGGGGGAAGGGGTTTAGAATAAGACATCTAATTGGAGTGAACCTCATTTGAGGACCACTGGTCTAGTGGTTTTAGTCAATTATCAAGAAAGCTTGCTCTGGCGCAGTTGTCGAACTTGTTTTCCTTAAAAAAGAACCGGACAAGAGGGCAAATGCCTATCCGTACTGCTCCCATGCAAAGGCGTTTGAAAAAAAAAAGACAAACAAAAATGACAGGGCGGCGAATGCCGGAAATGTCTAGAGGGGACGTCAGCATCCGCTATGCTCCTCATGAAACGCGATTTTGCACATGGCGATTTCATCTACAGATCAAAGTACAGCTGCATTTTTGTTTTCAAAAATGATACTTACTTTGAATAAAAATCGACTGATGGGTCCTAATATGAGAGAGTACTTTTCGTGGACGACATTTTGGTCTTTCCAGTAGTTCCGGTGCCTTGACGTGTAGCTGGGACGACGCAAGTAGTCAAAGTTAGCCAAATAACTTATGAGTGAATAAATTATACAATCACTGAAACAATCAAAAAATTAAGTTATTTAGGCAAAACTACATTGAAAATTGGCACTAATATCCTAAACCAATTTCGCATGTAGAGAATAATATGTACGTTTGCGTGAGTCGTTTGGTATGAAGAGAGGATATGCTATCAAAGGCACCTCAGAAATTTACAAGCTTTGTCCAAAGGTAACCCAGGGATGGAGCGGATTTTCGCATTATGACAAAGCACCCTGTTAATGAATCAGAAATCGCCGCAACCACTGTATACAGTGTCGAGGTAAAATTACCGCTCCAACTCGACCATAGGCTTTCGGCTCTTTTTTTTTTTTTCTTTTTCGCTTGTCCACTACACGCGATTATTCATATCTCATAAATGAGGCAATGATCGAATACTATATAACGCCAATAAACGACCCTTCAGTTCCTTCTCTCAGCAGAACCTTCCGACAGTCGACTTATCTTAAACCACTGACGGCTGAATTCATAATCGCTAGTAGGTTCGAAACTTAACTCAAACTCCACTTGAGGACGGTTTTGAGCTTCATAGTTCCAACTCAACTCGAAACTTCGCTCGACTGTTGAAATACTCACCATTTTATTTCAAAATCTCAAGGTAGCTTCGGAACTACTTTCCTTGAGACCCTATCTGGTTTCTGGGTGGCATGGCGGCCGACACGTTGTTCACTAATTGTCTAGATGTTGACCTCAGAACAAACAAACTCCTGCACCACAGCGATTATGAAAACCTTTCAGTGTCACGGCGTTTTTCGAGAACCGGCCGAGCGCAACGGAGGTGTTAGACGACCGCGAATCGTTTGCTCCCTATTACTTTTCGAAATCGACGATGGCCAGCCTTTTGAAGTCCCTGTTGCTGGAGGAGCGTGAGAACAGTCGCGGTCTGCCGGTCCCTCCAACGACTTGATCAAGCCGCAGTTCTGCGGCGCTGGGAATAGTTTGCAACTTCCAGTTCAATCAACATAGAGCAGAACACACCTCTTCGAAGAGACCAGTCCAAAAAAGGCTTGATGGAAGGCTAGTTCGGACATCCCCGTTTTCTTTAGTTGCGTTGCTTTCCGAGAGCTGACGTCCGCTTGCGCACAGGTCGCCAGGACATATCCGCTTCATATTAAACGGGGACACCAGTTCAAGCGGATAGCTTTGCAAGCAGCGTTCGAGACACCAATATTGCGGTGCTAACTGGCAGCTGCTTTTTTCCCCCAGCTTTGGCAGACTGGAAAATGCGCTTGTGTTTGTTCTATCGATAAAACAACTAAAACCTTCCCGCTGGCTAGAGAAAAGCTTGAAATTCACCAATAAACTCTTTGCAGAATTATATATCCGAGCACAAAGGAGCATGCCACGGGTATAGTTAGACGCGAAGTATGTGCTGGAGTCCGCGGTAGTAACTATTCGAGGGCAAATCTTAAACAAATTTGGTCTTGCACGCGTGTTCGTGAACGCATTATTATTAATTATTAGCTACTTAAGAATTGCATGGAATTTTTTATACGGGGAAGGCGAGCGCCGGTGCGGCGCGTAGAATTATATTCCCAGCATTCCCCTTGGTGCTTGGGCAATTTAATAGTAGGCCCATTCAGTGTTTGTGAAGCTGGATCTTTTAAATATAACGTACACATATATAGGTATTTTGCGCCAGAACTATGTCTTAGACAACACATGTTGGTATAATCTCGTCTCCTGGTATCCCAGGGAACGCTGGAGGGGAATACAAAATCTCGACGGATTCCTGCGTGGAGGAATCGCTGAGAAGCGCCTGTCACGCCAGATTCTTTTTGAGTCGATGTGCTATTTTTCTTTCCTCTCCACTGAGTGGTGGCGGAGTTGCAGTCGAGTAGCGTTTAAGAATGCGGCAATGAGCTACATTTCAAGTATCGGCGCTCGATTCTTCGATTGTGAGCGCCGGCATTTCGATGCTTAGCGCAGAGCAGACGCGATTAGTGATTGTTACGACTTAAAAATGCAACTTCATGAGCTTCAGATACGGTGTCGCGATGCTCAGGCGATGTCGCTTCACCGTGTTGCAGACTGCTTTAGGATTTCTGGAGGCAGGAAAACCGTTTCCCGTCATTTCAGATAAAGCTTCGGATAACAAGCAGTAACCATTTAAGGCACCAAGACGGCTTAACTGACGTCTTTCGGAAACGTGGCTCATTTGGTGGCTCTAGTTTAATCCACTGCGAGCCTTTGCCTCAAAAGGTGAGGGCTGTAATCGGTAAAATACGAGAACACTTTTATGTTAGCCATTCTTTCTGTCAGTGCGCATTGTATGTAACTATCTATAATGTCTGTAGTTTAACAGGCCCTTCTAGAAATTCAGAGCCATCTAGTGGCTCAAATATCAGTCTAAAGGTTTGTACGCCTAATGGTGGTTAAATTCAAGTACCTATTTCTCAAATGCAGTCGTACGAAAGTTGCGGTGTTCTTCACTGTACAGCGCTTCCTTTTACTATTCGTTGTAGTTTTAATGGCCTCAAAATACCTATATGAACGAGGTGCTTACTTGAGTACAGTAGCCCAAGTTTTTCATAATATGAAGCAAGCGTCGACCGCCGGACCGGCCAGTGCCGTGCCACGGAGGCGTGCGGTGGTACGGGAGACTATTGGGCAGGAGATCGAACTATAGGGGGCGCTTTATCGAGGTTGTTCTCCCCACAGCTCGGTGTTTACTAGCACAGCATAACAAAGAAATTGAACCTCGTCATGCACGGCCTGGACACGAGCGCTTCGCTCTGACCAATGCTGGCCTTCGAATCGTCGTCTTCGATGTCGCTGATCAAAAACAAACAAGAAAATTCGGTTTTTTGCCCCCACAGCTGAAGCGTGCCGCTAGAGGCGTGACTGTTCGATCTGCTCCCCAATAGGCGCGTGAGCTTAGAGGGATACTGCAATGAAATTTCGGCATTCGTTTTTTGGTCGATATGTGTTCAAAGGATCAGTATCACATCGAACATACCAATATCTTGTTAAAAAGTCTCAAAAAGAAATTCTGAGACAAATTAAACGATTAGCGAAGAGCACCTGGCGGATGTCGCTAAAGCCCCGCTTGTAATGCCCGTCTAGGAACCTTGACAGCTAGTGACGGTGAGTGTCTCGCCTCCGGCCACGACGAGAGTAGAGGGGAAGGAGGAACTCCCCTTTTCCCAAGAATGCTTTTTGTGTGTCGCAGAAGCCGCTATTGTCCCCCTACAATATTATAGAAGATGAACCCGTCACTCGAAAATCGTACAAAAGCAGTAGCTTCGGTGGCTGGAACGACTAGGCCATCCTCTCGACGTCAGCCTCGGCGTAGCTTTGCTCGTCTCGAGGCGACCTACTTCAGGATTGCGTTGGATGTCACGTGGTCTCCGCTGGGCTTTCTCCGAGCCCTTGCCACAGTGGGCCGTTTACAAGGAAAAATACAGCCACCAGGCTCAAAATACAAACGTGCGATTGTCACTTACGGATGTTGTGGATCATATTAAACCTATTTTTGAACACGACGGGAATATTTTAAATTTCGTTGAAGTATCCCTTAAAGCCCTTTCCGGTGGGATCGTCGCCTGCTGGGATATTCCGTTGATCGCACACAGCCCCTGCTTCGTAACAAAGGAGTGAACAAAGGAGCGCAGGGCGCTGATTGACATCATTGCTTATCCAACGCCCACTTCTCTTTCCGTATCACTCTCTCTGCTTCTGTTGTGTGTTGGTAGAGAAAATCTCTGAAGAGCCCGCACTGGCGTGATACTCGTCCTGCGTGGCATAAACACTGTCGCAATGACGATAGTTTCACTCTGCGGTCTGGTTGTGTTGCTTCGTGTTTGAATTTGCTGCCGATTGCTATTCCATGCGCCCGAAAAAAAAAAAAAAAAAGCGAGTGGTAAGCGAAATTGATTACTCCGGAGAGTGCTGTACTATATACACTTCAGAATAGCACTTGCACTGCATTGGATAAATTGTTTTATCTATAGCGTAAAGGACATGCATCCTCTTGGATGGCCGACAAGCATCTTGCGATCAATGTATCCCTGCACACCAGACTTCATTTATGTTACCCTACTTTAAATTCGGTAGCATTATAATATTGAAACCATGCTGCAAGGAAATTATGTTTTCTAATCAAAGCAGGAACGGAATAGCCTTTAGTCAGTTTCAAGTTTAGAAAAGCTTTTGAGTAAAAGGGGGACTGGGGAGGAGGAAGCGAACCGAATGTTGCAGAGGAAGAGGGAAACCCCCTCCCCTCTCAAGCGTTCCGTCTTCTTCCTCATCCCCAGCCTTCTTTTCCCTCAAAAACTTTTCTTAACCTGTAACTGACTCTAGCAGACGACACTCGCACCAGAGAGAGCTATGTGCGCACGCGTCTAAACTCTCCCGTATCGCCGCGCACCCCTCCGCGGCACGGCACTGACCGGCGCAGCTGTCGACGCTCGCTTCATAATATTAAAAACTTGGGACACTCTACATCCTTTATGAATATTCACCACATTTTATTAGTGCGAAAGCACTAACTGTCCCATGGAGCGAAGCCCACGGCGTCCGCGAAAAGCGGCACCTAAACTCCCATTTTCCCCTTGGCTGAGCGAAACGGCACCTAAAGTCCCATTGGCTGCGACGCGTCATAATTCCAAGGAACACCACACTACAGAAATGCCCTCTGCTGGCGCTGTGGCCCGCGCGCTGGTAAAAGTGACGAGGGTGGCGCGCGCGCGGCTGCCACTCTCCCCCTTTCGCCCCTCTCGGTCACGTGACAGGCGTGGCCGGAAAAAAAAAGGGGGGGGAGGGGGAGCGGGAAATTCCCGCTTCCTCTTCCTGTGCATTACTGTATCACGTGTTCTACTCTGTGCTTTCAGCCATGCCGCGCCGCCCGGCAGGCCTCTGCGGAGGATAGCGGTGCGCGCTGCTTTTAGAGATGCGCTGCGTGTAGGACTGCTTTCGCATTTCTAGGCGTAAGATGTCTTAAAAAGCCACTCCGCTTCATTTTTGTTAAAAAAAAGCAGTACTATTCAGTATTACCTATATCCCCACGCCAAATATTACGACATAGTTCTGTCCAAATGTTTCTTACGGTGCGGCAAACTTTGCAACTCGCCAACTTGCCGAAATCGGCTGACTCGAGCTTGAGAATAAAAGGCGCAACCAACAGTGCCGTCAAGGCTACGGCATGAGCGTAGACAACATTGAGCTAAACATCATCATCATCATTGCTTCCTTCTCTTTGTTTTTTACTTCTCCGGGCAAGCGTAACGGGTGACATCAACAACATTTCTTCTCGGCGCTGAACGGTGTCCACATGATTGGTGTAAGACACCTGCGCAGCCCACTTTTTCGGAGCGGTCGCGCCGTTACCCGTTGGTTGTGAAGCGTCTCCCGCTTCACAACCAACCACCGTCGTCATCTCACCGTTTGTGATTATTGCCTCTCGGAGTTTTGTTCACCCTACGTGCACAGGCTGATGTCGCAGTTGTGCAGACGTCGTTGAGTGTCGTAGACATCAAAACGCGGTGAAGAGTATGGTGCAGACGACACTTGCGCCTTGCACACGACCGCTCCAATCCAGCCCGTCGTTGCGTAGAGGATCACGTGACATCTCGTACTACGTGATAGCTATGTTCTTGGTGGCCCGAGGCCAATGTTGCCGGTCGGAGTCGAATTTTAGGTTTCGATTTCAGCTCGTGTTTAAAATTGGATAAAAAAAGAGTATGTCCCAGTTTTCGCGAAGCAAATAACGTTGGCTTTTATTATGGCCTTTTAATGCGAAGTCACTCATTACCTCAAAATCTTCGGAATTGAGCGGAGTTGCCCTTTAAGAGTCCTCCTGAAATCTTTTGTTATGAGCAGTGTGGAGCGTCACGAAGCCAATAATTCAGATTATCCTCAAATGTAATAGCGCTCAGGAGTGCATAAGTCTAGTCTCGCTGACATCGTAAAACAATTAAACGAACTAACGTCTGGAATGTTCATGCTCCGTATCGGTGCCTGACTTCAAATTGTTCCTCCATCAGCCAACAAGAGACAGCCAATTAGCATGTATAGATGATATTAATTTAGGCACGATAGTTGTCGAGGTGGACAGACTTAATGACAGAAACGGTCTATTAAAAAACACAAGATAACTGTAACTCACAGGTACAGCAGAACAATGGCTGCCACAACCAAAAGAATCCAATCAACAAAGCCAAAAAACAGCATCCCAATGACGTTCTTTGGACACGGACAAGAAGGACGTCAATCCAGAAGAGAACTCCTGTAAAAGAAGAAATAAGCAAAACAAGTAAGTTCTAGAGGATTAACACCTTCGTCACATATGAACTATATTTATACTGTATATACAACCAGGCTATGTTTTCCACAGTACAAATTCATGCTTTCACATACGTATGAGCTTTAGTATTACAGGAATCAGGATATTATTCAAAGGTAGCAGTAGGTTAATTTACGTAAAAAAACAAATCGGCAAGGTTCAATGACATTACAAAATCAAAACGCTAGATTAAACACGTTTACAGTCTCTAAATCTAACAAGATAACCGGATAGCACATACGATACCATTATGAAAAAATTCAAACAGCTTAACAACGTAATCTAAGGTGCGAATAAGAGGTCAAGCGTTCCGGCATTAAGTGCGCAATCGTCACACAGCATACCGGATTGTTACATGTTTCCTGCAACGACTCAGTTTACACAACTCGTGCGAGAGAGTTATGACGCATAAATTCAGGAAAGTTTAAGCGATATTGTTTTTAGTCAGATTTTGAGTGGATACTTTATGTTTTAATACAACCGGGGTGTCAAAAGAAATCTTAACCCGAACTGAAAACCAGAGCAAAACCTTGATTTTTGACCGAACCGAAACAGAACCTTAACCGAAATCGAACGAGTAATGAACTCAAACCGGTTTACTAGAAATTTCTTCGGCTTAATACAATGCGAGGCGCGCGAACGTACAGGGTGTCACAAAAAAAAAAAAAGAAAATTACACGGTCTTTTTTACCGCAAAAATAAACTAGGCAACGCCGAACGCTCATTATCCGCCCAAAGGTAACGCTAGAAGTCACAACCAGATGCCAAAGTTTCAGCCCGATCCGATAACTTAGTCAAAAGTTATAGGTGATTTCCTGAAAATTTCAATGAGAAAATGGAGCACATTTTCGCCCGTTTTCGGATTCTATTGCCCTAGAACCCCGTGTATTCGAAAACTCCGTCGGACGCCATTTTCCCACTGAAATTTTCAGAAAATCACCTATACCTTTTGAATAAGGTATCGTATCGGGCTGAAACTTTGGCATCTCGTTGTGACCTTTAGCGGTACCTTTGGGCGGAGAAGGAACGTTCGGCGATGCCAAGTTTATTTTTGCGGCAAAGAAGAATGTGTAAATTTTTTGTGTGTGACATCCTGTAGTTACAGGTGGCAGTGCGAAGTCAAATAAATATTAGCGACGGTGGCGTCAGTGCCGCAGTGTTAACTGGACAAACTAGAGCGACGCGAAGACATCACAATAACGATGAAGCAAGAAAACATATTTCACGTCTGTGTGCAGCAGGATTTAAGGCGCGTTCACATTGAAAGCGGATCCGCAACCGCAAAACGGATCTGGACTTTTTAACCACAAAGCGGCTAGGATCGCGCCAACCACTTCGCGACCCATTGCTTCCAACCGCTGTCACGAACCGCGAAGTGAGAAACAATCGCGACTCGATGCTGACGTGACGACGTTGGCTTTCGAAACAAGATGGCACCCATGGCTGATGAGGTGACCTGGACGCTGTAGTCCTAGGCAGCAGACAAATCAAGGAAGGAAGGTGATGTTCCCGTCCGTCACTTCAATCCGCCGCGAAAATAATTGACTCATAATCTCAACTGGCTTCGCTCCGGTAGATTGGTTCGGAAAAGCTACTTTGTTTATTATTCGGGGTGCCAAAGTCGATCGCTGCGCTGCCTTGTTCGTCTTTGCCCGCAGAATATCGAAACCTGCCTCCTCGATCGACCCGAAGTGACAGCTTCGTCTCCCACTTCGGCACGTAATAAACTACTGAAAGCTTTCGACACTGTGCATGACACTCACGAAAGCCAATAGAGACGCCGTGAGCTTAATCAAGGAAAATGCAGGGATTGGTGTTCCACGCGAGACACGAGCACGCCTTGCCCGTATAAAAGATTCGAAGTAAATAACCGAAATAAAGCGTCCGAGCTGGTGCGCTAACGCACACCAGGGTCGCTAAACTCGTCAAGCACAACTTTGTGTCCGAAAGGGGGATCGGTGGCCGAGTGGTCTAGCGCACACCAGCTCGGAGCACGTGGAGCGAAAGCTCGCGCTGCGGAACCCAGGGATCCTGGCTTCGAGCCCCACCCCTGCCCGTTTCGATCTGGATGAGCATCGTACCGGCGTGCGGTCGTGTATCACTACTGCGTGATGCACGTTAAAGACCCCAGGCTAGCGGTTGTACTGCACTGGCTAAATTTCTCATCTACAGCTGGGAGACTCGTCGCCCCTGTGAGGCAGACCAAGTTCTAGGCTGTATAAACATACCACACAACCCAATTTTTTTTTTGTGTCCGAAAGTGGCGGAACGCGCTAATTGGTCTCTCGCGACGCTGACGTCGCGCCGAACGAGGTGTCAATCATTCGAAGCAAAGTTCATCGAGGCGCGCGTGCGGCGCGTGAGGGGCGCGAGGAGCCCGCTGATTGAACGGCTTCGCCGATGACGTAGCGCCCATTTGTCCCTACATCCCGACGCCATGCTAAAATTAATGCTTTGCAGATTGTCCCTAGGCGACCTGCTGACGCTCAAAATCCCTCTGAAGTTTGTGTTAAAAAGAAACCTCGTTCGTCGAAGTTGTCGCTGACGTCAAAGTGACGTTTCCGAACTTTGCGAGAGTCGTGGTTTGAGCTCGAGATCTTCGCTTCGGATCGAGGCGAAGTTAAACTTTGTCAGCATGGCGGTGCCGTACGCTGCGGCCGAGCTTATCTTCCGCCACCTTCGGCGTCCCTACTGAGACCACTGGGGACGCCTTTCAACTCCCCGACGACAACTTTCGGCGACAGTACCGGCTATCGAAAGCCGTTGTGCGTTGACTCTGCGACGAGCTTCGTTCGCCGCCTCGGAGCGTGGAACAACAAGTTCTCTACGCGCTCCGGTTCTTCGGAACCGATAGCTTTCAAGGCATGGTGGCGACTGACGAGCACCTGTTAGTCTCCCACATGACTGTGAACCGGGCTGTCAGAGTTTTTGCGGCTGCCATCGCCTTTTATTTTTTTTTTTCTGTAATATCCGAAGGGGTACTAATAAGCTGGTATACAATTCAGAATGTTGGGAAACAAACAAGAACCGGAGTAATTCTTGGGTAGGGTCGAGTCTCCCGGCAGCCGGCAGAATTATTTCCCCAAAATTCTACTGGCAGTCGTCACTCATTGGCGGTCAAATCAGTTCATCGAACGACGTGTCATCGACAGATCGTTTCATCGGCACGCGATGTAATCACATGATAGAGATTGTCTTCCGTTAGAGGTATATACACATTAAGCATTTTCGCACCTTTAAACATGTAAGTGGGGTGTCCCATAACTAACACCCCAATAAGTGTAGCGATGGACCTTATAAAAGAAATGTAAACTTCACACCTTTAAAAATGTGTGATTTTTTAAACACGTTTCTTAAAACGTATGATAATGCCTACACCTTTTTATAAAGATGTAAAACTACAATACCCCTTCTCGTCAGGCACGTAGCCAAGGGGAGGAGGGGGGGGGGCATAATGCCTGGCCTTACCGCCCCCCCCCCCCCCCCCGCCCGAAATTTTCCATTTTGCTGGGGCCTCCTCTCCTCCCTCCCCCTCATAGAGCACTTTGTCATCGGGCCCCCCCCCCCCCCCCCCCCGCCCTTAAACAAAAATCTGGCTGCGTTCCTGCTTCTCCTCAAGGTGTAATTACCACAGTAAATTTCTTTTTTGGGGTGTATACAGTGGCCCGGGACCCATTAATATGACTGAACAAATAAATTACACAAACGAGTCGCCGAAACAGCACGTTGCTTCTTGGCGAGTGTCGAGGCAATATCGTCCGAAAACCGGCTTCAATATTGGCCGGATGTACGGTTTTGCGCCTCGTTTCTACATCCGGCAGGTATGGGAGTACCGATGCTAATAAACGATTTATGTCTAATAGCACTGGCACCACTGATTTCTTAGGAGGCTAGATCGTGGATAGAGGCCTGTATTGCTGGGGTCGAGCGGCACCACCGGCAGTTATCGCTTGACACAACTCAATTTTATTACGTTAGTAGGTTGTTCTCTACCATGAAACTTCTATCGTGTTTCCGCAAATAACAGTTAATATTGTGGGCAAGAATATTAAACCAGTTAGAATACCAATCTTGTTTAACTAAATGTTGTGTGGTTGAGGGTCCAGGGCTACTTTGTTGGGCGTTAACCTTTATGTGTTTAATGAGACAAGGGCTACCGAGAGTTGTTGTGGAGTCATCCGTGATTTCGGAGTCATCAAAGCTCAGCAAACAATAAGTTAGAATGCCTTTACTGGGGATTTTCGCATCGTTTTGACCGCTTGTACATAGTGTTTCGTGATGAAAGCTTTTTCTTTGAACTCCTTAGAGGGCTTCCGTGACAAACTGAAACTCGGAGCGTGCCGTTCAGTCGCTCGACGTGCCATTTATTTAGCAACCGAAGCAAGCGACGTCGGTAAAGTCAATAGTGCTCCGGCCAATTTTTTTTAATCGATGTTCAAACGCTTGACGAATGTCTATTTGATCTCCAAGAACCCGACATAATCATCGCAGCACGTCATAAAATGCTCGCCCTTGAGCACCGCGTACAAGCTTCCAATTTTTGCATGTTTCTTCCTTAGACTTGCGTGTATTGCCTCATGGTGTAAAAGGCCAAAGCAACAAGGACGAAAACGAAGGGAGAACTGGACAGGACGCGGCATATTGCCTGTCGTCAAGCAATGGCCGCCGGTGAGGCCAGTGACGGTCTCCCAATTTGCGATACAGACTTGCACTGTGAGAGTTCAAATGCATTACACCCGCCGAGTGCTGCACGGAGAACAGGCCCCGAACGAACTTGCCGAATGCACCCAGTGCAGACTGATGCTGTCGCCATAGATGTTGTAGAAAAGTACCGACCTCAAACCGAAACTAGCGACTTTTTGTTCGACGTGATGGGTGGGAATGCGAG